AGCTTCTCAGGCCATCTCTATGTAGGGATACAAAAGATGATTATCTCTTTCTCATTGAGATGAAGTCACATGATAGCCACTTAGTGGTGTCACTTCATAGAGTGATGCAAGTGGTTAGTCTGTTATTTAACTGCCTGGAGTCAAGACATATTCGTTGTTTGTTCTGCTCAGGCCAGCCAGCTGTATATAGCTTACAAGCCCATGGCACTGTTTTCCTATGGAAATATATTTTCACCAGATACAAAAACTATATCCTGCTCATAGTCCTCAATTTGGGAAAACCCCATGATACACTGTTTTCCTGTATGTGGAATATATCCTCACTAGTGACATAGCAGATAAATCCAGCCAGCTCAAATCTGGAATCCGAAATATGGCTTCTCTAGAAACACAGAAGAAACTTCAGCAGGTTCAATTCCTGTTGGGAATTAGTACAAGACCCTATCTCTTCTCACACTGCTTGTGAAGACATGTGTTATAGATTCTCTGCATGGGACACATGTAAATATGTATATATAATCTTGTGTATGAATTAACAGTATAAAACTCTCTCTGAGAACGAAGCATGCTTTTCTTTCAGCTATTCCATTTCATCCATGAAGTAAGGTGTTATTATATCATGGATATAATGATACCCATAATGGGGGTGGGAATACAAACTAGAAGAATATTCCTTTCTTTCATAACTCACCCATTATCTGGTGACTTACTAGATGTGACATGATATTGGGACCCCATTATCTGGTGGACACAACATATGATATTATTATCACCCATTAATTGGTTACCATGATGTGATATGATATTATTTAACTCTCTTTATTTAACTAGTAATCATGACATATTATTAACACCCATTATATATATATATATATATATATATATATATATATATATATATATATATTGTATGGCCTCCATTGGTCTTAAGAGACCATGGATTTGCACCTGAACATGAAGAGTTATGTCCTTTTATGAGAGATTGACAGTTTTCTCTCTCTCTCTCTCTCTCTCTCTCTCTATATATATATATATATATATATATATATATATATATATATATATATATAGTCTGTATGTTTCTCTGGGTCTTTAGTTCATCTACATTTTTCTTGTGAATTTCTTCCATTTGAGCTTTTAATTGCTCACTACTCCTGGCCATCTCCATAGTTTTTTCGACTTTCAAATCAGAAATTGTAATCTTTCAGATAGGTCTTTATTCTGTAATCCTATCACAAGACAGTTTTTGATTTGGTCATTTTTCTTTTGAAACTCACATGCTTCTGCTAATTTGTGCAATGTGCAAATAAAGGTTTCCACTGGTTCTCCTAGTAATTGAACTTGAAGATAATAAAAGAATTATTTCTTTTTGAATTGGGTTCTGTTCTAGAAAATAATTTTCTTCTTTTAGAAAGAATCCCTCTAAGGACATCATGGTCCACTGGGCTTAGGGTGGAAAGATATGTAGTGAGAGACAAAAAGGCTTTATAAAAATATATCCCAACATTATATCCTCACATACCAACCCAGCAAGCACATATGCAGTAGTATACCATAGAATTGATACAGGCAGTTATGCTCCTACTTTTGCAAAGGCTAGATATCTATCAGAAGAGAAAACCCAGGCAATAAAGAGGTGTCAGGTTACCTCCTCCTAAGTTTCAAAACCACTACTAGGAGACGCTTTCCAGCACTATGAATACTCTGTGATAATTATTTGCAACCTCTTCTTACTTTTTACATCATCATGTAAATCTCTCATGGAAGAACGCATTCCCTTTTTGAGACACGCATGAACAATACACACACACATATATATATATATATATACCTTTCACTCATTTTTTCTATGAATTCCTCCTACACCAAACTACACATGCGTAAACAGTTCACTAGCTTAAATGTTTTCTTCATTCATGTTCATTGTTCAGTAACAAACAATATTCTATTGTTTATGTAACCCTTTATTGTTAATACATATTGTTTGTACACATATATATTGGTCCATGTTGTTTCTTTTCATTTTTTTATGTGGATTCATATTCCAAGTCTGCCATATTGGTTGTGGGTATTTCAAAAGACATTTGTTTATCTCTCAACACATACACTGGCCCGCAACAGAGGGGATTTTCAAAATTACAAAACAATAGTGTCATTACACCATCTAGCCCCCTACATGTGGTAAAAACTCAGATGGAAATTTCAGATGCTGTGGTGATTATTGCACATTAAACAGCATTACAAAAAGCGATAAATACCCATAAATATCCCATCCTGAACATTAATTCAATTGCTGATAAACTAGCCAACAAAACAAGATTTAGCAAAATCGATATGGTATCAGCATACCATGAAATCAAAATGTACCTGAATGATATAAAAAAACAGCACTTATTTCTCCTCTCAGATTTCATGAATACAAATACATGCCATTTGGATTAAAGAATGTAGCATCCACTTTTCAAAGATATGTGGACAAGACCTTTCAACATGTTGACTGTGTATTTACATACATTGATGATATTCTTATTTTCCGGAATGATTTTTCAGCCCACATAAAAATGTTGAAACTGTTATAAAAATCCTACATGATAATAATCTAAAAATTTCAATAACAAAGTAAACATTTGATGTGACTTCAGTCAATTTTTGGGTTATGATATTAACTCTGACCTACACAAAATAGTGCATTACAGAATTTTCCCCCTTCTAAAGACAGTAAGAATCTTTGTCGTGTCTTAGGCATGGTAAATTTTTATAGAAAATTAATCTGAAACTTTGCCGACATAGTCACGCCATCAAGAGAAAAAAATATGTATATGCAGTAATAGTAGATTTATATTAAATGACATGGAATTGCAATCATTTAAAGATATTAAAAGTTGAATCAGAGAATTTCCATCTTTAGCTCACCAATGGTCTGATGGTACTGAATATCAGTTGATTACTGATAGCAGTAATTATGCAACTGGTGCAGCCCTGTATCAAATACTAGAAGGAGTACCAATTCCAATAGGCTTCTTCTCTAAAAAGTTAATCCAAATGCAAACTAGGTATTCTACTTTTGATAAGGAATGTTTTGTAGCATATTCAACTATGTTATATTATTGAAGGAAAACAAGTTTTATTACTAACTGACCATAAGCCTTTGTGCAGCACATTCCATAGTCTAAACCCTGTGAAGTCAAATAGACAGCAGCAATAATTAGCAATTCTCACAGAATATATATCAGATATGGGCCACATAAAGGGAGATCAAAATGTTATAGCTGGTTGCTCGTTTAGACCTACCCTAGCAGTTATGGTAGATCTGTGTGACTTGCCAGCTATAGCTGCTACACAACTTATTCTGAGTTACAAAAAATTCCAGACTTAAAAAAATACAATTTTAGTACTGATAAAAATAGTTCCATATACTGTGATATTGCTATCGATGTTCTCAGACCATATATACCTGGTGAATTATGAAAATCTATTTTAAATAATATTTACATACTATCATACCCAGGAATTAAAACCTTGTGTATCAAGACAAGATTTTTTGACCTCATATGGACAAGACAATAAAGAAATGTGTAATGAAAAGCAAAATTCAGTGACATACTAAATCTGCTATTCACCCTATTGAATTGCCTACTATTCGTTTTAATATGGCATCAATAGATAGATTAAAACCACACGTTAAACCTAAAAATAATAAGCAAGTAATAACAGAAAAGCAACCTCATAGTGATGATATAATAATGGATAGAGAAAATATAGATAGAAATAGTAAGCCTAGTCATACAAAAGCAGGTAGGAAAGTTTCTTGGAAAAGAGACAACCAATATCACTATTAGATTCTACTACTAGGTGGGGAGGTTTATAGCGAGAGAAAAAAGTTATCTCCCTTTTACCCAAAACAAAAAATAGTAATCAAAATTAATTATAAATATTCACAAGAAAAAAAACAGTCACATGATCTGATGAGACATTCTTAGGCGGAAAGTCAATCTTCCTCTTTTTGCTCCGTGAATTTATAGTAACAAGATGCACAATTTCTGCAAGTATGTATATATAAACATTGTATTAAGAATTTCAAATATAAAATATATATACACAAGTGTTTTTATGCAAAGACTTGTGTTTTGTTTGAACTTTTCATATATTTATGTTTCCATACATTTCATGCACTTTAAGTGAGGTCTATGCTACATATTCCCTCACAACAGATATATAGGACTGGCAACTGAAAAGTCAAAGCAACACAAAGATGACACGACACTTAGTAAACTCAACAACATATTCTATTCAAACTGCCTGCTGGATCTGTCCTGATCTCAGCATTCCCTAGTGTTGTCAGAAGTCCCTATAATCATCATCATCATTATTGATGTTGTTATAACAAGTTTTATATAAGATTTTTGTATTTATGCTTCCTTTTTCTGTATACTGTAATAAATATTCATCTTTTAAAATTGTATGCAGTGGTTTGAGTTTCGATTGCACCTTATACAACTTTCTATTCTTACTAACTTGTTTTTGATGTTTGGCACAAGAATTTACATTTGGTTAGGTGTTAAAATTTTTATAATCTACCTCTTTCTGTTTAATATGATATTGCAAAGAAAAAAGATTGAACACTCCTGGATACTATTGTCACGTCTGTTTTCAATCCTAGCCAGTACATGAATTTCATTTTCTTAATTTACAAACCAACAATATAGAGTTTCATTAATATTCATAAATACCACAGAAGCATAATTTAACACTGGCTATATATCTGAACATCTACATCAAAATGGAAAAAAAAAAAAAAAATCAGCTAGTGGCTAATATGCGGAACGTGTCTGCTAGACAAAATTAATCGATAATAAAAGTTTTTTTCAAATCGAGGCTACCTCTCGCGAGTCTGTTTTGCGCCAGTTTAAATTTTTCTGTTTTGTCTGCAAAGGAAATTTTATTTTTTATTTTTAATCCTCGCCGAAGGTGGGAAAATTTGTTTGTAGAAAAAGTCTAGAATGCCAGAAATTAAAATTCAACACGTAGTGTCATACAGCAGCCAGGATTCCGTAAGTTTCATTTATAAATTCTTTTTTTTAACCCACGCTTTGGTTTGTGTTGTCGTTTCCAAATCAAATCATCCACGTTGTCTTGACTATTTTTTTCCTCTTGATTTTACTGTTTTTTTGTCTACCCGAATAATTAATGTCTTATTGTTTGTTCAAATGTTTTTATACACGAGAAACTAAAAACGTGAATGAATCCAATTTGTGATGGAAAGTCAAAAATATTTCTAATTTAATAACTGATGAAACTCTAAAAATGTTTCATAAAAACGTTTTGTTTGAATTTGTTGTGTGTGTAAATTATGTAATTGTATTTTTCTAATAAAATTGTTGAAAGCAGTCGGTCAGTGTGTTTGGGCTGGTGATTGTTTAAAAAAAATGAAATAGTCTACTGTCTACATGACAATATTGCCGTCTTCTTGTATACCCACAATTTTGTTATTGTTGTTATAAAAAGGTCCGTTTGAAAAAAAAAAAGTGGGGGTATATTCGCCAGTTAAACACAAAATAATAAATTCGCTGTTAAAAAAACAACAACCCCTAAACCGGCTACAAACACGTGTACCCACGAAATATATCGTTTGTAGTACTAAGAAATTACATATTATAAAGTCGAACATTAGTATTGTTTAAGGATTAGGTCGGTAGGTTTTTTGGGGTTTTTAGTCTACTCGACAACAAATGGTTGAGGTGTTTTTTTTTGTTTTTTTTTTTAAACTCTGGTAAAGATCGGTTGAACCGAAATTTGGTATTTTCGTAGGAAAGCATATTTTTCATGTGTGTTTTTATGTATTTGAATGAATTTGACTTTAATTTATATGAGATATTAACAATTAACTCACTCATTTTTACTTTTTGTGCGGGTTTGAAAATTTACCTTCATTTTCAACTTGAAGGTGGACACAAATTCAGGGTCCAGTTTAGCAGTATATTTACATTGGATGTAAAAATTGAACATTTGATGTCATGGCTCATTATTCAGGGTTCCTATATTTTAGACGAGTTTTATACGTACATTGTAATATAAAAATCGAACTAGTTAGAGACATTTTGCTCGTTTTAGCTTTGAAATATTTTTATTTTCTCGAAAAAACAATCCTCAAGAAAAAAAAAAATTCATAGAGTAGAAAAAAAAATTAGCTTAACGACCCCTTCCCTCTACTACTCTTACTTCATTATTTTTTTTCATTTAATTTGTGGGTGTAATTGTGAACTCACTAGCAGAGTCCAAACCATGTTTAAGATCACCACTCCAGAGATAAACAAAGTCAACAAAAGATAAAATGTTTTTACTTAAAACTTAAAAGCCGAAGGGCCTGACAGAATGCGATGGTTGACAACCGCATCTTGCAGACCATTTATTTTAATTTTTTTCCTCTTGTGTAATGATGACTTTTTGAGCCTTCCGGGTTATCCGTCTACAGTTTTAGCCTTGTGCCAGACTAAAATGTTAACTAGAAAAAAATGATTCAAACATTTAATTTTTTCATTCATTACTTTTTTTCTTCAGTGATGGATTTTTTTATTTTATTTTATTTTTCACATTTCATTTATTTAATGTTTCAAGCTCCGCTTTTTAGTCAAAAAAATTCAGTGAGATTAAAAAGAATAAACAAACAGTAGTAAAACAAGTTTATATTTATTTTTAGAACTAAATTTTAAATTTTAAGTTTTTTTTATTTTTTCAAAACAAAACAAATTTATAGAATTTTTTTTCCATGGGAAAACCAAAGTTCTTGATCAAAATAATTTAGTAGTGTTACTGTTAGGGTTGGGCTAAAAAAATGATCGAATTTTCGTGATTATAGTAAAAAAAAAAAAAAAATGATACTTACCAGTTGAGCGACAGTCCGTATTATTATTCATTTTCTGACAATTTCTAAATATTTGACTGCATGTTTCAGTTCTCAGTAAAAAAAAAAAAAGTAAGGCTTAAATTAATTAAATTTTTAAGTTATCTTTTTAAAAAAGGATTACTTGTTTCCGTAATTTAACCTAAAATTTGTTTTAATATTTTTTACTACTTATTTTAAATGTTTGAAACACTTTTTTAAAGAATGCTGTAAAAATTGAAATAAAAATACCATTTTTAATTACTTCTTTTTGAGTTATGTTTTTTACCGTTTTGAACTTTTGATCCTGATAATAAGCAAAAAAAAAACAAAACATAATGTACTTTCTTTTGTCTAAAACTACTGAACAGCTTAAAAAAATGATTTTGAAAGATTTTATTTATTCATGTGGTATAAATATTTTTCTTTTTCACTTTTGAAAGTGATTTTTTTTAATTCACCCCAAGCCAAGCAACAATGCCACCAAGACGCAAGTGAGTTACTGGGAGTAGAAAGTATGAAAAGATTTTAGAAGGAACTAGAAACTCAATCAATTCTATAACAGGAAACAAGGGATAAACATTCCTGTTCAAAAGATCTGGGAAGAGTATGAACTTTATAAAGATTAATTTCACCCCTCATCTTAAAGTAGTTGGTGTCAAAATTGTTGTACTTGTATGGAGTATTCAATACTCAGTATTGTGTCTGTGTTCATAAAATAAATAGCTCAAGCAAGAACAGTTTGGCAAAACTTGGTATCATTCATTCCCTGATAAATTCACTTGTTTTGCTTATTAATTTGGTAGTAACTGCCTCTTGTCATTATTTGAAGGACTCTTTAGTCCTTATTAGTGTATCACAATCTCAGTTGGTGCAAACAAAACTTTATACATAGCGAGTCAATATAAGGATTTAATCAGAATGTGATAAACAAAATTTTTATTGTTGTAACTAAGAAATTTACTTTTGAGATTTTATGAAGTATTTTTTTAATTTTGATTTGGTACAGGATTTTTTTCCGCTAATTCAAAATATTCAGGTAACCAGTTCTCTTCTCTTTTCTCTTGGGCTGCACCTCTCCATTGCATGAAGTGGGCTTAGAATTATTCCCTGATGTCTGTAGGTGTACTAAAAGGTGCAATGCTGAGGAAACTAGTCAATTTTTGTCCTTTTTTATAGCGAGGTTCCCCACTATAAGAAAGATTTAGTGTTACATGTGAGAAGACTTATTTCTACACCCAATACTTGTTTGCTTTTTTTTTTTTTTTTAAACAGCAAATGACATTTCAAAAGAACACAAAAAGTAATGCAATTTGTTTGTTTAATAAAGTTGAGGGTACTAAATTTTTAAAATTGAAGTCATTGGAGATAGTGAGAGAAACATAATCTCCTGATGGTCAGAAAATATCCTCATGAGAATTTTAAGAAAGCTTAAAATTAACATTTATTTTTAGAAAAATTTAAAAGAAAAAAGTTCTTGTGAGCATATTTGAAAGTTCATAAACCTGAACCAAATGTACTTGGGATGATGAGCCTTAACACACAATCACAATTGTCAGAGTACTGAAATCTGAGCAGCCTTCCTCTGACAGATTTGAAAAGGGTTTCTGTGTAAGAATTATCTCTGTTAGGATTGAATGACATCTAGGGGATATAGTGTTCTCAGCTATTTTTATTGGAATGTCCTGTTGGTGTGACCTCGACTACACTAACTGTATCCCCTGTAGAATGTAAGACATCCACCCTCAAAAAGTTGTACTGATTATTACATGTGCATTATGAATAATTATAAAAATTTATTTAAATTAAAATTTGATAAAGTTTATAATCTTGTAACATGCACATTGAAACACTTTGTAATGACCAACTTCAAATAAAACATTTTTTATTAATGAAACACAATATTCCAAGAAGAAAGAACTTTTTAAATAGCATTTAACTTGTAATTTAAATAAAATATAAAAGTTACACACCATTTAAATGATGCTAATATTTCAAAATTAAGAGCAATTATAGAAAAGATTAATTATCCCTTCCCCTTATTTTTGAGAGCTAACACAGATTTGATCAAAGTTTTTCTAAATATGATAGATCTTTAAAAAAAAAAAAAAATACTCAAATTAGTTGGAATGGGTATTTTAAAGAAGATTTAATCCAGGCTTTATTATAATTTCCTGTAGATCAGATACTTCATATACAATTTCATTAGGACAGAAAAACATTTTTACTGTATAGATATATAAAAGAAAAACTGAAAATGTAAGGATCAGAATGTAGTATCTACCTGATCTCTGGACATTTTGAGTTGGCATCAGTTTTTGAACCAAGAAATCCACATAGTAATATTAACCACAACTGAGTTGGAAAGGTGAGCATGGAGGGGGAATAAAAAGGTCCCGTCACAGTTTAGTCAAGAACTTTTCAGCAGCTCTCATGTCAGGCCTCCGAACTAACTTTTTTTTTTTTTTTTTCACCATTGTCCCAGAACTGTCCCCTCCAAAACAATTTTTAATTGTTCAGAAAAAAAAAATTACAACTGTTCAAAAGTCTTTTTTTTTTTTTTTTTCATGTTATTATAGTTGCTTGTAGGTATAATATTTGGGAAATAAAAAAAAAAAAGCTAAAAAGTTTTAAAAATGAATAAATACAAAGACAAATTAGAATTTACTGTAACTTTTATAAAAATCCCATTTTTATTTTTATTTAGATATTTCACGTAAATTACTTTGAATAATTTTATATAGAAATGTTCTTACTTTCAGAATTCTGCCCGAAGCATTTATTTTCTAAGAAAGAATATTGATGCATTACAATTATTCATAATCAAAAAAATTTTCATTTACAATTGCCTTGCTTCATGACTAAATTGTCAATGTTTACCATTTTTAAAATTCACGCTTGTCTTTTCAATTTAGTTTATGATAAGCAGAAAACAATGCAAAAATAGTTCATAAAAATTTTTTAACCAAAAATTGATAGAAAATCTAATTAAAGATTAATTCTTACAATTTGATAATAGTTTTTCACATTTCTTCTATTTCTAATTCTTCCACACCCTGTAAACACTTGTCTTAATGGCTTTACTGCCTTGTATGGGTTAAAAAAAATTAGGAATAAACAAATAACTATATTTTAAGTCCTTCAATTGTCATTTTTCATTTGGGTTTCATTCACCACTTTAGATTTTTTTTTTTTTTTTAAATTGCCCACTACTATTGGTGAGAAATTAGATATTTTTTAAATTTTATTTTAAATTATTTACTTTTAGAATAAATATAGAAAAATAAAAAAATTTTATTGTCCCAGCATCATACCCCTCCCCTCCAAATCTGACCAGTCGTCTTAAGTTAATGTTCACAACAAAAATTTGTATATAAATTCATTCTTTATATATTTCTTTAAAACTTCATTCATCACATTCTTGCTCTGGTGTATTTATAATTTGTAGAAAGCTTTTAAAAAAAAAATACCAAAAACTAGAAATATCTTGGTAAAAACAGGCTACAAGATACTACACTCTGATCTTAGGCAAACAAGCAGAATAATAGATTAGATAAAATTGGTACTCAGACTTCATATACAATTGTAATTTTCTTGATAAATTTTGGAAAAAGTATCAAAGATCTTTCTCTAAATGTTGCCCTGTAAGCAATGTATTTCAACTTAAGGACACAGGATACCTAAGTTTTGGTAAAACGTGTCTTTAATGTCAAGAAATAAGTGTCAAATCTGTTGGGATGCAAAACTCTTCTATTTATAAAAATATTAATTCTATTCAATTTACATTCATCTCTTTATTAATTTGGAATTATTAAAGAGACTTCTTTTTTCTTTTTTTATAATCTCAGGGGTATGAAATCTCCTTAAAAGCTATATATATATATATATATATATATATATATATATATATATATATATAGGATTAACTTAATGCTATTTCTTCTGGATTTATGTGTACCATCAAAATAACATTTTTCATTATTTTTGGGAATTAAAACTATTTTGTCTAACATCGCCTTTTCACTTTCAAATGATATTGTGAAAGAGAAAACTAATGTATTCAGTCTTTTATTTTTCACTTATTTAACTTACAATTTGCTATCTGCTCTGTCAGCAGGTCTTTGAATATGCTGACTTCATCTCTTGCAAATCTCCTACACACACACAAATAAGTGTCACTTGTTAACTGTGGATGGAAATATTGTGGTGGCAGTGGTTCATGATCATGAGAATTAAATGGTCATGTTAGTGGCAACAGTTCAGTTTAATTCTTGCTTGGGTTAGACAGGATTGAACCTCTCCAACTGCCTATCAGGCCATAGCGTGCACGCACACACACACACGCACACACACACTATGTAGTCTTTCTCAATCCCAATACAATCAGGATTAATACCAGACTTATCTCCATGTATACAAAGTTCTTATTGAGAGGCTACTAAAACTAAGATCAAACACCTGACCAACATTTATATAAAGAAATCAAAGCAACTTTATGAAAAACTGAAACTACTTACACTACTAATTTCCATGAATCTACTAATCTCCATCAAAATCTGCAAATCATTTCAACAAAACAAAATAATGAAAAATAAGAAAATGAACAAATCATGTTAACAACACGTTGTCAACCAAAAACTCTTCGCATGACACTGCAAAATCACTTGCCAAAGACCTACAGATAGAAATGGCAGAGATCTTCAATCCAATCCCTTCTACAGAAAGATTCTCCTTGTCAGTGATACTAAAACTGATCCCTAAAGAGGCAAGAACTGCCTAGCCAGAGATTCCTAAATAAACCCTACCAATGATCCTTCTCAAAGCAAAAAGGATAACTAGAAGAAAGAAAAGTCCACTAGGAAAAACAAACCATTTCAACATAATGGAAAAGACTGTCCTCTGCCTTTTAAACAAGTCTTTTAAAGCCTTTTGTCATCCAACAGAATCTGTTTATCAAAAAAACAAATTCTCTGTTTAATTTGTTTTTCACAAGTTTAATTTGATGGTCAAAGTTAAGTAGTGTTTCTCCTTCTTGATATGAAAACTAATACTGTTCAAGGAATTTTTACCTTGACATTATTGTTATATGAAGAGTTATTTTCTCTTTAACAATATTTAAAGATATTTCTTTGCTGACAAAGAAAATATTAAAATAGTTTCCTATTTTTTTAAAATAGTTTCTTTCTCCCTTTTAAAAAATAGTTTTTTTTAAATGTTTCTTTTTTTCTTAAAAGATTTTCCTTTCCTTTTTAATAATTTCCTTTAGAAAGCAATAGTTTTCTTTTTAATTTCTTTTTTAAATAGTTTCACATTGAGTTTTTTTTTTTTCCAAATGCGTTATACTTTGAAAAACAGCTATTCTAGAAATGTGTAACCTTTCCTTGATATCAATTTCCCTCTATGAAAGACATTACACCATTTTAAAAAATAATTTCCTTTTTAAAATACTTTACGTTTTAAATGATTTTTTTTCAAATATTTCTTTTTAGATACTTTCCTATTCTCAATTTATTTTAAAAACTTTACTTATTTAATTTTTCTTTTTATAAATAGTATCCTAACTTATTTTCATGTTTTAAATTTCTTTTTTTTTTTTAAAAAAATTCACTTTTTATTGACTTCTTAAATAGTTTTAGAATAGTTTCATTTAACTTAGTTTCCTCTTTTTTATTAGTTTCCATTTAAAAGTTTCATCACTTTATTTCTTTGTTAATAATTTTCTTTTTGTATTTTCCAATCAGCATTAAATTTTTAATTGTGTTGCTACAATTACCTTAGTATATTCCTATTGGCTTGACTATTTTCCACAGAATAATCCTGCTGAGAATCTCTTGAAACCTGATGGAACCCACAAATGGAAATGTGGCAAAGTTGGAGAGAAGCAGTCTTCTGTTGTTTTACAAGTATGTATGCCCTGACATAGTTTCACTTCTCCTTAACTAACTTCATTTTAAAAAAAAAAAAAACGTTTTAGCTTATTTTCCTAAAAAGAAAACCTCAAAATTCATTAGTCTTTGCTTGACTACTTATCAATATTACAAATTCACCTTAAACAAAACTTATGTTAAATATAGTTGGCATGCATCTGCTTCCAGCACTTTGAGCTCAAATTCAAGTATATATCCACTCTTTCTATCCTTCTTTCACAATGTATTTGACAAAATTAAGTCATATGTTAATGTATATTTGAGGGCATAGAGGGCATATAGTCCATGTCATCTTCACCCTCAAAAAATGACAATCAGAAAACAATCATAGTAGAGAAATTTGTGGATAGTCGGGTCTTTTTTAATGGTTAAATTAATGTGTTTTAAAGGAGACAGTAATGAGATCTTTGTATTTGAATATTTTTCCATTGGGGAACTTCTCTCAGAGAAATAAAAGCATTCAACATATGTCATGTATACAGTTCAAACAAACAAAATACTTTAATTTTTAATCTTGAAAATTAAGTATCAAAAGTACTTTTTTTTTTTTTTTTTTTTTTTTTTTTTAAACAATATGAAGAAAAGGAACTTTCTAGTGGCTGGCAAATTTGAGGACTACACCTGCATCAAATTTTGTATAAAACTTGGGCACACCTACTACCAAGAACCTGAAAATGCTTTTGGCAAACACTCTTTAGAGTGAACAGAGTATTTTGCTTGACACATGCATTTCAAAGTCTAGTTTTGAAGATGAGCATTCAGAGTGACCTATTACAATTAAAATGCCAGAAAATGTGTGTGTGTTGGGTGGGGGGGATGTGAACTCATCTGTGAAAGTCATCAGTGACCAATCCATCATCTCTCTCACATGATTCAAATTGGTTATGGAGTTTGACAGGATATTCTAAGCCACAAACTTTCTGATATGAATTTGTTTAAGGATCTATTGGCAAGCAGTTATTCTTACACACTGTGCACTGTCATTTTGAATCTCAAATGTAAATTATAATGAAAAAAAATGTACCAATATTCAACATTTTTATATTTCTTACCATCAGAGAAAAATGTAATACTTCTATAAAAAAACAATGTTCATCATTGTTCACAAAAACGAGTAAGCAACTTAAGTTACCCGGTCTTCAAAAAAATAACTCTGTCCATAGGCACAATAACAGTACAATTTTTGGTACTACTAAAGTATGCAGTCTACCACGGTATCAAACACTATAGCATGTTGTCTACCTCGCTTACTACTATAGTATGTGGTCTACTGCACTATCTAACACTATAGTGTATCTAGCAGATTGTTCTCATAAAAATGCAAATGCTATTTCCTTGGTCAAGATAGTAAGTCAAAACTAGGCCAAGCAACAGTAATATGGTAAAAATTCACAAAGTAAGAATTATGTTCACACAAAAGGGATACAGTCAAGTAGTTATAGCATTCTTACTTCAAAACAAGGAAAAAAATATGGTGGATCAGATTGAGAATTGTCCTTTTTTTTTTTTTTTTTTTTTTTTTGATGAGGAAGAAATCCCAGTATACATCTTTAAGGTTTGTCTATAAATTTAGGGAGGGGATGTTCTTAGCAGTCATGCCCAGCCAATTGGGACCAACATTATGAGTTCACATATGAATAACATTGATATATGAATATGCAAAGCAGCATGAAAGTTAGCATTTTTTTTTTTTTTGTGACTGGTTATGAACCTGTAACATTGACATATGATTGTCTCAGTTGCCTTTTCACACAGTTCTTCATACATGTCTATACATGATGGTGTACTGTCTTTGTTCATTCACAAACATTTTATTGTGTTTTTCTGTAATAGACAGTAGATATTTATAAGTATAGAAGTCTTTGACATCAGTTACTTTACAGAATTTTTAAGATTTTAGAATAGTAGTATAATATATATAGGAGGTACGGTGGAGTAGTGGATAGTGGCTCGAGTTGTTCGAATTCTAGTCAAATCCATTACATTCACTTACATGCGAATGACCTTCGGAAAGGTAATAACCCTCCTCTTCTCACTCCAGCTATGGGTAATTCTGTAGCCTTGGATGGGAACTGGTCTAGGAGAAGGACAATTCTGAATTCAAAACCCTCATTTGGAGACCTTGTGGCACATATGCACCAGGTCTCTGTATTCAGACCTTCAAAAAGTGTGGTTGGTTCTGCACAAAGCCTTCACCACTATAACCAAATCATATGTGCTGGTGTCTGGGCTGTCGGTTCCTAGGAACAGAGCTGCTTGACCCTCATACATTGAATACAACTGGAGAGTCCACTATATATATATATATATTACATGGAGATAAAATTCTATACCACTTAGTATATATGGCCATTTCACCCAAAACTGGCTTGTCTACACCATGGAGTTCAATAGAAATATTTTATATTACTAGGATTCACTGGGATTACTTACCACAGATTTTTACCTGTGTGTGTGTGTGTATATATATATATATATATATATATATATATATATATATATATATATATATATATAAAATGTTAAAAATATAGTTTTATCATGTTATTTTATGGGTAAAAGTGCTTAATATCAGGGATAGTGTTTGTAAATATAAAATGGACACTGTCATCTAAATTACACTGACATCTCATTTTAGCATATATATTTACTAAAATTACACAAAAATATCTTGAAATACCAAAGAGTAAATTTATTCAATAAAATTACCATTGGCTTCAACCACAGCCTCCAGACAACTTCAGAATCTCCTGCAACTTTTCTGGACAGTCTCCTTGTTTAAGTTGGTGAATGCTACCATATCCCTGTCTTCAGTTCATCTTTGGTGTTACAAGGAGTTTTCTGGGTCTCTCAACTGCACCCTACACATAATTGGGGTGGGGCAGTCTGGGGAGTAATGTAGCTAAATGTAAGGGGTGATGTTGCGGAAACAGTCTGATGACCATGACTAGGTTCTCCTGCTTGTGTGGCATAGTACGGAGTTCTGTTGCCAAACATAGGGTCTTCCTGCAGCCATGCTCTTGACCCAGGGTAGCACTACCTTTTCAAGGCAAAGGCATTTGAAGTAGGCTTCCATGTTGAGTCTGAGGCCCTGTGAGAAGATGAATGGAGGCATAACATCGCCATCACTAGTGAACACTCCAAACACCTTCGTAATCACCATTAGACTCATCCAAATCTTTCTGAATCCTCTGCAATATCCTCAGATTGACACTCAAACATTCTGAAATGTTCTAATAGAGTGAATTGGGTGTTATACTGGAACACACCTATTCTATTGTTAATACTCTCCCACCTATAATAAGTAGGAGTAGTGGCAGGCGCTAAGGGAGTGAGCCACTCAGAGAGTTAGTCAGTCGATGTCGGACATTTAAAGTATCAGCCACCACAACTAGATTGCTGCGTCATTAACTATTTATATCAAGTTCCTAATGTTTTGTACGTCGAACCTTTTTTAGGATCGACTTAGTGAAATACAAGCCTCCACTGTGAAACTACACCATAACATTGGGTCATAATGATCTTTTTCTCACAGATGGTGCCCAACTGACCCTATTGTGCAGTTGACAAAAACAAAAAACACATAAATTTAAATATCTCACCCTATATATATATATATATGTGTGTGTGTGTGTGTACACAACAACTGAACTTTGGTAGAGTGACAAGGCTATAGTGGAGTATCAGTATGGATTAAATTCCTTAGCATTAACATATGAGACTAATTCACTAACTGTTGTTTTATGGCACGCAACCAAGTTGGAGTCTAGAGTTAAAAAGGAAACGGTTGTATCTCATTCAGTGGTTTCCAAACCCATGTTTGCAACTCGGATGCAGGTTGCAGGAATGCTTCAGTGTATCATGTGATGGTTTTTAAAAAAAATGTTAAAAGTAAAAAAAAAAAAGAAAAAAAAAAGTGCAAATATATTTACATAGGTACCTCCACAAGATCACTAAAAAAAGAGCATAGCTTGATGAAAAAGATGCCAAACTTGACGAAAACAATATTTTATCATCTAAATGTTTATTATTATGAAGAGGAAAGACCAAAGTTTATTTCAATTATTTTTAAAAAATTTTTCCTTCTTTTTAGGACGTTCTAAATTTTGTTTAAAAAAACCATGTTTCTCTTTGTATCAGTGGAACTAGTAAAATAATATATACAATTTTAACACGTTTTTTTTGTATGACACACATTAATTTGGAATATCTTTCAAAAATAAAAATAATTGTTGGATGTTAATGAAACTTTCAGAAAATATTCACAGATGATTGAAATTATTAGAAATGTTTTTTTTTTTTTTTTTTTTTATTAAAATCATGGCAGAAATATTTTTTTATATTTATTACCCCTCCCTCATAACTAATTTTATGAAAACTCTAGAAATTCAATCGAGTCCACTTTAGTGATTACAATAGTTAAAAGCACAAGGCTTTCAGGAACGCAAATCGTTTTTTTTTTTTTTTTTTTTTTTGGGTTTTGTTTTTAATTGGACATCCCCAAGCCCAAAAAATCAGCTTTAAATTGTAACATACAAAACTCTATAAAACAAAGATATTATTTAATTTCAAATACTTTTATTTGCTTTTATGAATATGGACAATGTTTTCTGAAAGCAAAAAAATTTTTCAAAAACAAATTTTTAATACAATTATTTGTTATTTCTTTAATCATAATAGATTTTTACATTTAAGTTGTTAAAGTATTATAAAATTAGTTAAAAGCCGCGTTCGCTTTCATAAGTGTCCTTATGAGATAGATCTTTTTTTTTTTTTTTTTTTTTTTTTTTTAGCACATTGTAAATTGTATCATTTTGACTAATCAGAAGATCCCCAGTAATTAAGAAATATAATTTTGTGTTTATAGTCAGGCTGTAATTGTAAAGTACGGAAGACCAACCAGAATACAATTAAGTTGCATTATTTGAATTAAGCATTGTTCTCTGCTGTTAAGGCCTTTACTTTTGCGAAACACGTGTTGAGAAGTTAATTTGATTTTTCAATTTCAACTGAGAAGGGTACCTATAAGTATCAGTATCATCTTATGAAATTTATATGATCTTATTTTTATATTAATCTTGGTTATGACATTTTTCCATAAATGAAATATCAAAATTAATAATAAAATGAATGGAAATACAAATAACACAGTAAAATGTAGTAAATGTACATAAAATTATAGTATTTTATGTACACTTCTGATAAAATTTCATAAGAAAGGTACCTATAAATTAATTAGGTACCTTTCTTATGAAATTTAATGTCAATCTTAACAGTCTTATTTTAATTTCTTTTATAATATATTTTCCATAAAGCATCGTAAACGTAAAGGTGAAAGCTAAGTACAAAAAAAAATTAGAGCGCTGAAATTTTTCCTTAATAATAACGATGTAAATAATTTGTTCACTTAAATGAAAATAACTTCACTTCTCTCCTTCCGTAGAAGGAATTATCCCCATGTAATCCATGTCATTCATCACCTGTCAAGTGATGCAAAAGTGTATGACTTGCTTTGTTTTATTTTAAAATTACATCTTTTCGGTGCAGACATTGAGTTAAGCTTTGTTCAAAATATTTTAAATAAACATAATTTTTGATTTTCTAAAAATAAGTTTTGAAAAAATGATAATTAATTTTTAAGAATTTCAAACTGAGATTTTCATTTTTTTTATAAAATGGAAAAAAATGGTTGCCATGATAGATTATCTGTCAATTTTGCTGACTCAAAAAAAAAAACAAGATTTTTAACAAATTTCGGACGTGCTAGGAACGATTAAAAATGTAAAAAAAAAACCTCAAAAATACTTACATCTTTCCTCTTAATAATAACATAAACATTTAGACGATAAAATTTTATTTTCGTCAAATTTGGTGTCTTTTTCATCATGCTATACTCTTTTATTTAGCGATCTCGTGGAGGTACCTATATTTACATAACACTTATAGAATAAAAAGTCTTATTGAAATGTTGGAAGATGAAAATAGTTGTGAATGATAAAGCATTAATAAATGTATAAAAACTCTTGATATATTCTAGTCTGTTCACATCCAACACTTCACTAAGACGACTGGTGCCACAATTGCAGTATTGTTTGTTACTTCCCCCATTGTTATTTTGGATGACTATGATCCAAATGTGAAAATTGTCTTCTGAGAGAAAATCAGGTGCAGAAACGCTGATAATATTTTACCCAAACAATTGCCAGGCTAAAAGTTGTTCTATGTTGCAATCTAAAAAATATTTGGGAAACGCTGATCTAGTTAGTACACAAAACAAGTGTTACTAAGTACAAGTTATCTCCCTTGTAATATTCTGAAGTGGTTCATTAATTTTCTTTCTTCTTCACATAAAAATTTGAAAAGGTTTCATTAAATATTGCTGTAAGTGTAACATTCATTCACAAATGATTGACTTGGAACTCTTCAATAATTAACAAAATATTCTCACATTTTTTTTTATCTTTTTTTAAATCACTTTCTATTGTATAAATTTATTGTAAAATACAAACATTTAGGAATCTAATATCTCTCTGTAAATAGTCTTTGTTCAGACATTTTGTTTTACATTCTTCATATTTTTATCTATGCTTTATTATCCTTGTTTATACATATCTACCGACATTGAGCAATATGCTTCCTGAGGCATTTAAAAACATAGTTATATTACTATCTAGATTCATTAAAGATTCTTTTGAAATGTAGAAACTCTGCCACTGACTTACAATAAATGAAAAAGTCCCAGTAGCAATTTATTCAGATGTTTGAAATTTTCTCTTGGAACTAGAATTTGGTAAATGATAAATTCAGCCTGCAATTTTCACTGTCTTACAAAATGTTAAAATAATAAAACAATTGACAATAGCTAGATAAGAGGTGAAATATCTTTCATGAGAAATCTTATCATTCATGACATTCTTGAAAATTAATAATTGTATTTTTCTCTTCAACATTTAGAATATACTAATTCAAGGATAAAATGATATTTAAAATTGTAAATATATATTTGTTGTTTCCAAAATTTTGTTAGCCTGTTTAAATTACTTATGTAGTTGTCTTAAAACCAATTTCTGTTTATCTTTCTTTTTCTTACCACACAATGTTTCAAATATGTACCCTTTGACCTGCAGTTTACAAATATTGATGGCAGAGGTTATTTGAAGGTGTTTGTACAAATATAGATTTTTTTTTTTTTTTTGTTGTTTTTTGCATAAGATAGATTTTGAAAAGGTTTATGGGGGAATACCTGTAATCTCTTATTTTAAATGACAGATATCCATAGTGAACCTGTTTTAAAAATAAATAAATTATAATGATTATCCAAAAAGATTGTTTTGTGAAATGTTGGTAAAGTTTAAGAGGATGTGATTTTTTCTATGGAGAATGAGAAAAATGTGCAAATTTCATTAACTTCATTTTCTTGTTTGTCTTGATGCAATTTTTTTTCTCTTGTGTCAGTTCGAAAAGGCTTCCATCATCCACTCTATAGACATTGGTAATGACAGTTCCGCCTTTGTAGAGATTCTTGTTGGCCGTTCATCATCTGATAAAGATTTCCAGGTGAGGTAAAGACTTTGGCATTACACAGAATTAAAGGCTTCTAATGATATTTGAAAATACTTGTTTAAAATATACATTTAGTTTATTTATATATATATATATATATATATATATATATATATATATATATGTGTGTGTGTCTTTTTGTTTTTGGTACATAATCTAGCCAATTTTATTTAGATTCTTTTTTTGTTCTTTTTTAACTCAAAATCAGAATTCCCAGCACACCTCTGTTGTGTGCATGTGTAATCACACCAACATAAACAAACTCAGTTCAATGAATTTCTAAAGGACAAAGCATGTCACACAAAAACTTTTTCGATTTGTCATACATCTTTCTCTTGATATATAAAAAGTTTATATATTGTTACCCTATAATATATATATATATATATATATATATATATATACTTCTCCCTTGACTACTATTTGTGCTTACCGCAAATAAACATCAGCATGTCCACAAGCTGTGTTTCAGAAATGAATTCATGTAATATCTTGGCCATATCATTTTGGCCTTTATCAAAGTCACTTACATTTATCATAAGTGTGGTATTTAACAGATCAAAATGAAAGGAAGTATTTGATACGATATTATTTGCCTGATAGTCATTGTCACTGTTTATACTGTTATGTGTGTGTGTGTATATATATATATATATATATATATATATATATATATATATATATATATATATACACACACAAAAGGAAAACGTTTCTTAGCTGATGTTTTTCATCCTCTGATGGACTTTATCAAGGCAAATATAAGGATTTTATTTTGCAACAAGTATTTTTGCACAAGTAAAAATGTTGTTAGTTTTTCAGAATTTTTACCATCCCGGGGTATGACGATAAACTACATCTGACAGCAAGGCCGCTGATCAGGTTTTGAGGAGTGTGGAACCACCTCTTAGTTGATGGTATTCTCAGGTCCACCCTGAGTCGGGGTGGTAGCACCCGTTAAGGTCCCAACTATGGGCAAATAGTTAACCCCCAAACAGGGGTCAAAACACTATGAAAGTGTAAAAATAGGTTTAATACTAGCAATAAATTTTTGAAAAAAAAAAAAAAATATTAGCAGCAATAAAAATCTTGTCAGCATTAAATAGCCCCTTGAAGTTGATATGCCATAAAAGATAAACCAAACCAATTAGAATTTTTAAATTTAAGAATGCTCATAGTTATACTTCAGCCTAACTGATAGTCAAGGTAAATTATGGAGGATGCTAAGTGATGGAATTTGATGTTAAATTAATTTCAAAAACTAAAATAATATTAATTACATTACAAAAAAAATTATTCAACACCAATACCATTTACACATTTTCATTTATCAGTCTTTTGTCCTTGGGAAAGGTATGAATCTCTCTTCTCCCCCCAGCTATAGGTTAAATAGCAGGATAGACTGGACCCTTGAGTTTTGGGTGCAATATGTTTAAGAGAAGAAAACTATTAAAAAATGGAGAAGGTAACTGAGAACCACTCCACCATCTTTCCCAAGAAGTCATGGCAATTAACAGATGATAAAGAAGAAAAAAATCTGTGGAGCATTGTAACTGCTAACATCCAGAATGGACATGGCATATATATATATATATATATATATATATATATAATTTATTTCAGGATGTTAAAACAAAAACATGTTAAAAATCGCTACACAATTGCTATCCTGTTTTGATGCATATCAATGCGTCTTCTCAGGTGATTGTAAATTACTGGGTGAGTGAACGCTTAATTTTCAAAAATTAATCATTCACTCACCAGTAATTTACAATCATCTGAGGAGACATATTGATGTGCATTGAGACATGATAGCAATTGTGTAGTGATTTTTAACATGTTTTTTGTTTTAATATTGTGAAATAAATAATATTTTACTCTCATCTGTATTGAGCCCTCTTTTAAATTAAATGTTACGAATGTTGGAATTGTACTCTTTGTTCTCATCTTACCTGAGGATATATATATATATATATATATATATATATATATATATATATATATATATATATATATAATCCTATTCATCATATGTAAGAGGAAAAAAATTTCTATTTTTAATCTTTGAAATTAATATCCCAAATGAATATATTCGACAAAAAAGAAAATGAAAACAATGATGGGTTTTGAATCTTAAATTCAAAGAAAATGTTAAATCTAGTTTTCATTCTTTTTGGTTCAATCCATCAATATAAAAAATGTGACTATCAAATAATTACAAAGAATTTAAAATTAGCTCTTTCCCAATTAATCCCCTACTTTTTCCTTCCAAACAGGAAGATGTGGTGTAATGGATATGTCATTTGCTTTTCTCTCTCCAGAAAAGATATTCAAATCATGGCAGAGTGACATTTATTTTATATATCAGTTTTTCTTTAGTGAAATGATGCAAAAGAGACGAAAACAAAATAGTGATATGAACTGGTTAACATTTTAAATACTTTTTTTTTTTTTTTTTTTTCTCCTTTCCAATCCTCCTAATTGTTTGATGTCTTCCATTTGCTTCTATGTTAGGGCTTGGCTCTATCTATTCAAATATTTTTAAATTGGTTGCATCATCTTTTATGTCTCCAATGATCCTCCCGAATGTTTGGTAATTGTTTGATGTCATTTAACAAGGTAAGAAAATTTAATCAAAATCATGCACCTGGAACACATGTCATAATGCATAAAATGTCAATATTTTCATTTAAGTAAAGCTGTGGACTGTAAGAAAGGCAGAAGGAATCTATAAAAATGTCAACGTTGAGTGGTGACAGTCTATTTCATACTTGAACATAATCTTTAGGTTATGTGTGTTGTATAGTGTAATAGTGTCAATATTGACCTCAGTGTCCATTTTCATATTTACACATTTTCTATTCTTGATATTGAGCACTTTTAGTTATAAATATAACATACATTAAAACTTGTTATATATAGTATAAATTTTAGCTCTGTTATGTTATTTTACATTGCATCATCTTGTTTTATGTCTAAACCAATGGAGAAATTTTAAACTAAGAATAATTAACACCAACTAAATACATGTTTATAACAAATGTATAAATAATTCTTATATGTTTGGTGCAAAAAGTATGTTAAATAAAATTTTGTCCAAAATTCATTTAGATTGGTTTATGGTCAATTAAAACCGTTTCAAAATCTCTTTTGATAATGTGAGTATGGATAAGTAAAATTTTGATAAAAGGTAGTATAGAGCATATTGTGCCCTCACTACTTTGAGCCATTTGAAAAACAAGAAAAAAAAGAAAATTTAATCAAAATGAGGAGTAAATGCACCTATGTTATTTCACTGTCAACCCAACATTCCCAAAATGGCAGATTTTATCAATTCTAATTTTAATCATTATGGTGAAAAAAATCCTGGGGAAAGATTCGATTAATAGAGAATGTAGAATTATACATAAATATAATACATTCACTGCAGAATAGCTATCAGTATAGGTATTTTGCACAAACTGAAATTTTAATTCTCATGCACAGCAATTGAACAAATTTAGACAAGAAAGATCAGTTCTGAGCTTAGCTTTCCGAGTCTTCCCGTTTAGCTTTCCGGCAAATGTATGCAAACAACATGAGTAATTACGAATCCCAAATTTCAAATTAACCCAAAACGATTTTATCAAGTAGATTTATTATACATAAAATGTATTTTATTGGGGATTTATTAAATGTTTATTGGGGATACATTTTGTTTGTTACTAGTATTGGATTTACATTTTTGTTTTTAACCTAAACCTATTTGATCTGGTAATAGATAACTGTTGTACAATGTGCAAACCCAAAATTCTGGGTATTAGAACAGACTGATTAATTTATTTATCTGTCAAGTTAACCAGCATTTCTTGTGTCTTAACAGACATTTTACATAACTCTTAAAAATTACTCCACCAGGAAATGAAGAACTCCTTTTCCTCCTTTGAAGAAAACCATGTTATGTTTCTCAAACTTTTTCATAGTACCTTATATTTGAACTCCAAAGCATAAAGAAACAAAAATTAAATGTATGTGACTTCCTATTTTTCAGAACATAACATATGGTTTGTCTTTCATTAAATTCCATTCCCCACCTGAGAATCCAGCAGCCTCGACAACATCTGCCATGGCAACAACAAATGATGATTTGGTATGAAAACTTTCAAGAAATGTGATTTTTATTTACTTATTTCTTCCTTTTTCTACAGATTTCCTTCTCGCTTCATATTCATAAGAAAACATCTCTTTTTATAAATTTCCAAATATATCTTAGTCATAACATCAGTGTCTTATATGTTGCAGACATATCTTGATAAAGTCTGACGATGTGAACATAACGCTACTCTGATATTATCAAGTAAATAGTTTAAAGGAATTATTCAGCCATACTATTTGAACTCCTATGCAGATTTAAACCATATTACAAATATATGTGTATACAAAATCAAGTTTTAAAAAAATTTATAAGCCTTTGTGATATAATGTTACACTCTGGTGATGAAGTTAAATACAAAGACCCAAACTTGCACACACAATGTTTTCCATCTTGAATTACGGTGAAATGATCCAGTATGGCTGACTTCATGTGAAACTTTGGGCTTACAGCCATGACACATTGAGACACCAGTTCTCACACATTCACCAAAGTTAAGTAAGTTCAAGCCTGGTTAGTATCTAGATGGGTGAGTGCTTTGGAATACCACGTGCTGTAAGCTTCACTGTATGGGTGGTGTAATAGATAATGGCTTAGCATTGGAAATTGGAGAGCCAAGTTTCAATTCCAGTTGGGTTCATTATATTCACTTATGTGTAAATACTATTGGGAAAGGTATTAATCCATCTCTTCTTCCCCCAACTATGGGTTAATTAGTAGGACTTGTATCATTATCCCCCCCTCCAAATTTTTACAATCTAAAAACATTTTCCGGCTTTCAATAATCTGCAAAAGCTTAAGCCATAAAAAAAAACCCCATCAATCTTGAGAAACTTCTCTTACATAATGGATTTTTATTTTTTTAAATTGTGAAGCAGAATTACAAATATTAAAAAAAAAAAAAAGTTTTACCCAATTTTAGTACAAATTAACTATTGTATAAAATCAAATCCAAGTTATGTACTCAATTTTTATCAAGTTAATACTCTTTTTACCATAATCGGAATATGAATGAACAATTTCATAATTTAGTTAATTATATTGATTAATGTTTAGTAAAATCAAATGAAACCTTCTGAGCACTTTATCATTAAAATATTGAAAGTTTTTTTTTTTTTTTTTTATCGTAAACTACAAACCAGTTAGGAAATTTTTAATAATTACATCCAGAATTGTTGTTGATATCGTTTCCGTTTTGTTAGAAAAGATGTTAGGCCAACTAATCAGTTTATGGGTAAAACAATGATTTGAAAAAAAAAAAAAAATTTTTTTATTATTATCATTATTATTCTTGCAATGTATTTATTTCTCTGTGATGCATTGGTAATACATTTTGTTTGTCACTGACATTTAGATTTTATTTTAATCAATAGCAGATCCTACTCCAAAATCAATACATTATTCTATAAATAGCATTCTAATAAATATTTTAAAAATCTCTACAATGGTACATCACACAAGTATATGTATCTTTACATTTATATAAATATGTAAGTCCAATATTTAATCATAGTAATCAATATGGACCTTTTTTTTTTTTTTTTTAAAAATAGGCTCCCTGTGGAATAACGCTAAAATCAGTATCAGAAAGTGGCATAACATTTATTGGGATAGATAATGTTGACAGGATGGGTTAAAATTCTGGCAAAGGCTGTTGCATAAACTTCACACTAATGCCCTTTGGAAAAGCAGGAATCAATTACTTCTCCCTCCAGCTATGGGTAAAATAGGAGTCTAGACTCTATCTTTGGTAGAGCAATTAGCCTTGGAGAAAGTCAACTCTGAATTCAGACCCTCTACCCATGTGGCATAGTAAGGCTCATTCTTCTTATTTTTCTATGTACTGTGTCCCTTCAGGACATGGGTGATCCTGGCTCTCCACAACTTCCTGTTCTTTGTAGCTTTTGACAATATTTGTCTTTTCGTTATCTCGCCTAAACCCTGTTCTGCCATAATATATTATATAAACTCATTAAATAGCTTATTCTCTGTTTTCCTTTCTCTTGCCTTCAGCATGTCTTGTGAGTTTAATTTTCCAAGCCCTCTTTCCTCATTATATGCTATAAAGCATACAAAGGGCATCTCTTTCATCAAAACTTGGTCTGGCAATTCACTGCAACTAATCCATTACCAGACATCCTGGGCTCTACCATACCACTTGATCTTGGAGGAGATGTTAAGATTTTGATTTTATTTTGTTTTTTTTGTTTTTTTTTTTTATAGCTTATCAACCTTTTGCAGGTTATTTAAAGCCAGAGAATATTTTATATTGTAATAATTTTTTGGAGATAATAATGGTTTACTGATACAACTCCTACTAATTAACCTATAGCTGGGGTGGCTTCATCCTTTTCCCAAGGGTATTTGCGCATACATAATTGGAAATTGGCTTTCTGATTTCAAATTCTGAGCCATTATCCATTACTCTCACATCCAAGCTTACAGCAGCTGGTATTCTCAGTCACTCATTTATGTACTGACCATGTTTGATGTTGCTTAACTTTGTTGGCATAAGGGAAGTGGTGTTTCAACATGATATAGTTGTAAACCAGGATGCTAAGAGGATAGATCTTGACAATCTGTACAATTCCTTACTTAAATTTACTTAGGCACATGTTGATCCTTGAAAGGAACCACCAATTTTGATATTTATTCTTTTTATACTCTGGGATGGATAGCAAGTGACCGTACTTGAATTTCACCCTCAGATATTATACAAATCACTAACCTTAAAATATTTTCAAATATATGATAGAAAGGGTTAGGATTTTTTTTTCTGCTATATTGACACAATTGGTCAAGGAAGCTTGAAAAAAAATTTTCTTATGCTGAAAGTTACTTAAAAAGGTAATTTTGAAATCACTTACAGGTTAGAATAAAATTGGTTGGTTGAGAATATGGTTAAGAAGATTGTCACAATGCTACACAAGATATTTCATGGTCTCTCTCTTAGGCAAAGGGGTAGAGTCACCTAAGAGTCACCATGCCCATCTCTCCAAGTAATTGTAAGTTATATGGTACCATTTACAGGGAAAAATCTGCTATTGTGACATAACATTGATGAAGCATTTAAGACGCCTTGTGATGTGATAAAAAAAGCAGGAAGTGGTGGATTCTTTATTTTTCCAAGGGTAATAGTGCAAAGTGTATATGTACAGAATCAGCTTCGGTTTAATTTCTGTTTGCAAATTATGTTGAGATAACATTTTGTATCTAAAGAATGAAATATAAAGCTAAAAAAGAAACAATACTGTGCCAAAATAGAAGTGGTAGGATTCTGCAAATTTACTTTAAACTGCTTTTTGGGGCTTACAATTACATCCTGTTGAAACCCTAGTTCCTATACCATCACTGAAGTTAAACAATGTCAAGCCTGATTTGTACCTAGATGGGTGACCATGCGGGAATACCAGGTGCTGTAATCTTGGATGTGCAGGTGGTGTAATGGATAATGACTCTGAATTGTTAATCAGAGACACAAATTCCTATTTCCATTGGGTTTGTTATATTCAGTTACGCGCATGCCTTTGAGGAAAATATGAATCCGCATCTTCTCCTCCCAGCTATGGGTTAATTAATAAGACTTGTATCATAAACCATTCTCTTCCCTCCAAGAATTCTTACAATCTAAAAAAAAAAAAAAAAAATTTATCAAATTGTTTGCTTACAATGTAAAAGCACTTATATCAGCAAGACATCTTGAAACCTAAAATCCTGTATTTTCAACCATAAAAGGGATTTATGCTTAGACAACCATTTAAACTTGTTCGTTATACACAAGAACAAAACTGGCCATAGTTTTGATTTTACAGATGCCTCCTTAATAAAAAAAAACAAAAAAAAAACATAATTCTTTATGTTGAAAGTACTTTGAGGAATTACTAATATTACCAACTATAAACATGTGTCAAAAACATTACATCACCAACCTTTATTCAATCCATTCTTAAAGAATCTAACGTATGTTCATCTAAAAGAAACAGTATGTACATAAAAATGTTCCCAAATCGACATGCAAAAAACTACCAATGTCTACTAAACATATACCCACACACTTACGAATATACATTATCATTCAAATCCTACATAGATATACTAGAATTATTATACACTTACATACAAAAAGCAATATGGTTTATCAGTTGGGCTTGGAATCTGTTAATTTTTTGGAGCTTTGAAAGGACATCAGCTTTCCTTGAATTTGGAATGCTATAAATTATACTAATGTTTATTTAACAAGTCGAATGCACATGAAATCTGATTAACCAATGAGAATCAAATGTGACGTCGCCCCCCCTGGTCGCAGCGTCGACTCTGTCGTTCGATCTCATTCAAGGGCGCCTAAATGTGACGTGACGTGGTCCAGGGTTCTGGTCCTATGGTCACGACACCAGATGTGACGTCTTTGCCCATGGCGTCAGCTGTTCGCTCCTCGCTGCTCTAAGTGTGACTTTCTAACCCTTTGGTTAGATGAATACCAACCTCGCCGTTCCCAACTCGCTTCCAATGCCTGGTTACTAGGGTAACTGCACTGATCTCCGGTCTGCCTACCCGTTGTGATTAGATCTTAGACAGACGGGATCAAACAGGGATTGGGGCCGTATGCAAGCTGAGTTCAACGGGGTGATAACACACAAGAAAAAGAAAAAACTCACAAGGTCAAAAATTATTGAAGAAAAAGGTAACAACTTTTTATATCTAAATGTTCGTTACACAAGATTATTCCTACCTCCGACCCGTTTTGTGGACTGTGGCACCAAGCTTCTACCATACAACTTTAAGGCTTCGAGTTGCCTGCTCTAGAAATTTGCATTTCGGGTGTGGATTGGTTTCGACACTGGGCGCTGATCTCTACCTGTCGTTCACGGCTGATTTTTCTCGCCCGTCAGTCTTGTGAATCGACTTCTTCTCTACGGCTTCGGTTGGACGAGCTTATTCACTTCGGGCTTGAGTTGGTGAATTTCTTCACTTCGACTTGGGTTGGACGAATTTCTCTTCTTAGGCTTGGTTTGATTCTAACTTCTCCGAGGCGCAACCCCAACTTAACTTAGGTACCTCCACGAAATCGCTAAAAAAAGAGCATAGCTTGATGAAAAAGACGCCAACCTTGCCGAAAACAAAATTTTATTGTCTAAATGCTTTTGTTATTATTTAGAGGAAAGACCAAAGTTTTTTTTAATTATTTTTAAAAAATTTTCCTTCTTTTTAGAAAATTCTAAATTTTGATTAAAAAAACCTTGTTTCTATTTGTATCAGCGGAACTAGTAAATAACATAGACAATTTTTAGCACGTTTTTTTGGTATGACACACATTAATTTGAAAAATCGTTCAAAAATAGAAATAATTATCGGATGTTAATGAAACTTTCAGGAACTATTATTCAAAAATTATTATAAATATGTTTTTTTTATGAAAGTCATGGTAGAAATATTTTTAAAAAATATTTATTACCCCCCCCCATAACTAATTTTATGAAAACGCTAGAAATTCGATCGCATCGGTTTTAGTGATTACAATAATTAAAAGCACAGGGCTTTGAGGAATGCAAATCATGTTTTTTTTTTTTGTTTTTAATTGGAAACCCAGTACCTGAAAATCAGCTCTGAATTGTAACATACAAAACTCAATAAAACAAATATATTATTTAATTTCAAATGCTTTTATTTGCTTTTAGTTGTTTTTATGAATATGGACAATATTTTCTGAAAGCAAAAAAATTTTTCCGATGAAAAATGAATTTTAACACAATTATTTGTTATTTCATTAATTATAATAGATTTTACATTTAAGTTTTTAAAATATTATAAAATTAGTTAAAAGTCAGACAGGCTTTCATAAGTGTCCTTATGAGATAGATCTTTTTTTTAGCGTTGTAAATTGTATCATTTTGACTAATCAGAAGATCCCCAGTAATTAAGAAATGTAATTTTGTGCTTATAATCGAGCTGTAATTATAAAATACAGAAGACCAACCAGAATATAATTAAGTTGCGTTATTTGAGTTAAGCATTGTTCTCCGCTGTTAAGGCCTTTACTTTTGCAGGAAACACGTGTGGAGAAGTTAATTTGATTTTCAATTTCAACTGAGAAGGTTACCTACAAGTATCAGTATCATCTTATGAAATTTATATGATCTTATTTTTATATTAATCTCAGTTACGATTTTTTCCATAAATGAAATATCAAAATTAATAATAAAATGAATGCAAATACAAATAACAGTAGAATGTAATAAATGTACATAAAATTATAGTATTTTATGTACAATTCTGATAAAATTTCATAAGAAAGGTACCTATAAATTGATTAGATACCTTTCTTAAGAAATATGAAATTTAATGTCACTCTTAACAGTTTTATTTTAATTTCTTTACAATATATTTCCCATAAAGCATCATAAATGTAAAGGTGAAAGCTAAGTACAAAAAAAAAAAAAAAATTAGACCGCTGAAAGTTTTCGTTAAAAATAACGAGGTAAATAATTTGTTCACGTAAATGTAAATTATTTCACTTTTCTCCTTCCGTAGAACAAATTAGCCTCATGGAATTCGTAAATATATCATTCATCACATGTCAAGAGACGCGAAAGTTTATGACCTGCTTTGTTTTATTTTCAAATTACATGTTTTTTGGCACAAAAGCTAAGTTAAGTTTGGTTCAAAATATTTTAAATAAACATTATAATTTCTGATTTTCTTAAAATAAGTTTTGAAAAAATGATAATTGATATTTAAAAAATTTCAAAGTCAGATTTCCAGTTTTTTTTTAAATGGAAAAAATGGTCAATTTTGCTGACTCAAAAAAAACTAGATTTTTTAACGAAAATTTCGGACGTGCTAGGAATGATTAAAAAATGGAAAAAAAATACCCCAAAAAATACTTTGACCTTTCCTCTTAATGAATAACAAACATTTAGACGATAAAATTTTGTTTTCGTCAAGTTTGGCGTCTTTTTCATCATGCTATGCTCTTTTTTTAGTGATCTCGTGGAGGTACCTAACTTAACTTCTTCTTTGTCCGAGGCACAACCCCAACTGATTTCTCTTCGCTTTCGGGCTTAATTTCTTCACGCCGACTTGGGTTGGACGAATTTCTTCACTTCGCTTCTCTTGCCCACAAGGGGCGAATGAACCTTTTTCGCCCGCCCACGCTCAAGCTCCCTCGCTGTCCGCGGCGTGGCTCCAACTGATTTCTGTCAATTGGGGTCCTGCTTTTATTGAGGCAGTCAAAAACTGGGGTGGGTCTGTCGGCGCCAGGGTTTTCTTGATAATTCTAAAGACGTATTATTTCTGATTAGGGATTTTCCATTATCGCTCTTACTTTCACTCCTACTTCCTTACTGTGCCTCTGGGGAGGCGATACCCGCTTCCCCTGGTCCCTCGTATGCCAGGTGACCGCTCTCGACCAATGGGGTCCTGGTCGGGCATCTTTCCTCCTCCCTCGCACATCACGTGACTGCTCTCGCCAATGAGACTCTGGTCGGGTGTCTCTCCTCCTCCCTCATGTATCATGTGACTGTCCTCGCCAATGAGACTCTGGTCGGTATCTTCCTCCTTCCTTAGACGGACGTCTCTAATTGGGCGGTACAATCCGTGGCTTTGTTCTGGGGGAAGAAACACCTTGTTTAAAAAACAAAATTTAAATTTTGCCTTTTTTCAGATGTGATCGAATGATTTATCGGTCCCTTCCACACGTGGCATCTGTCAACAGCCTACCGCTAATTGGATGCGATCTAAGAAAGGAATTTTCCCAGACTGCGGGCGGCGTTATGAAGCTAATACAAATATTCCACCTTTTTTTTTTCGCCGGAGCTTGGTAACAAAATCTTAATTATCTCAAAGCAACATCAACCTGGGCCCCCCAACTCCAAAAACCGCCTGGCTTTCGTGGTATTAATGTTTTGTTTTCATATCCTTAGATACAGTTCCCCATCTGTTACCTATCATCTCAATGACACCCTTTTCATTTGTTACTTATCAGTATTTTTTCATTGTCCCTAAAATTTTATTTCTTCAGCCAAATTTAACAAACTTCCATCTTCAGTGGACACGGAATTAGATCAAGTGCTTGACCTGACATTTTTGACATCTGATATGTGCCAGTCGAGCGTGTGTGTTTTCGCTTACGACCTGGTTTCGTATTTATATTTTTTCTTTCTTTTTCTTTTTTTTTATTATCTCTAAACTCTATTTCTTCGACCAATTATAACAACTTCCATTTTTCGTGGATTTCAGTCAGGTACTTTGACTTAGATATCTTTTGACACCTGTTATGTGTCAGCTAAGCGTGTGTGCTTATGACCGGGTTTTGTACCATCTATTTCTCTTTCTTTTTCCTTTCTTTCCCTCTCCCAGATCGCCCGAACGCAATTAGAGAATTATTCTCAACTTCGAAATATTTTTCATCTCTAAATAACTATCAACTGGTTAACAAACCGAAAAAAATAAATCATATATTTATGAATATCTCTTTTCAGTTTTCTAATTATGCATGGTGCCACACAAACCACACAAAAGTAAAAATATCAGAATTTCTTCTTTTTCTCCATATCACATTCGCTGATGAAGCTTTAATAAGAGCAAAACCTGTTAGATTGATAAATATTTCTTATTTATTCTTTATCTTATTATTCAATTATATGCAAACATTTTCAGAGCTCTCAGGACATTTTTCCATCTCCTCTGACCCCCCCATGTACTCCCCTCTCATGGGGCCAATATACTTCTCATACCCTTGAGGTTAAAATCAATGTCTGTTATATAAATCTAACTATCTGATTTACATACACAATCTTTATTTTGATATTTATTCTTAATTTTAATTCTTATTTATGAAAATAAATATCTTAATGATTTTTGTAAACAATCTAGACAATTTTACACAAAATTTTATGTGCATCTAACAATACTGACTGTAGAAAGTATTCAATTTTTTTTTTTTTTATGTGCATCTAACAATACTGACTAGAAAGTATTCATTATATCTTTTAGTTTATATAAACTGACATTTTCTTTTATTTTTCTTAGACAAATCCCCAAAAAATTGGTGCTTTCTTTTTTCGAAAAGATGAAGATGATGTAAAGGTGGGCAGTTTTTTTGCTCGTCATAAAGAAAAACCGGAATCTCCTCCATTAACAGGTGAGAAATTTTGTTTTTATTTTCTACTGTGATTTGTTTTGGGAACTGAGGAATGAAATGGATTGTGAAAATTATTTCATCCTGACCGATGTGGGGTAGTAGTACCTGTTAGGGTCCCAGCTATGGGCAAAGAATTAACCCCCAAACTGGGGTTCAAAACAATATGAAGTTATAAAAGTAGATTTTTATAGTAAAAATACCAACAATACACTAAAAAAAAAAAAATACCAGCAATAGATTTGACTTTCAACAAAAACCTTTACACAAATACATCTATGAAACCTCATCTACAACTGATTTCTTACAAATAATACATATTCTATTCATATGGCTCTATTTTAAAAATCTTGTCGGCAGTAAATAACCCTTTCAGGTTAATATGCCGTAAAACAAAATACTCTTTTTTTTTTTTTTTTTTTTTTTTGTTTAACTTATTTTTTTGCCCATTTTATTTCTCATCTATAATTTGGCATAAAATATTGGGGAAAAGAAAAGAAACAATATTAAACTTAAGCTTCATCCATATGTGTGTTTTTTTTTTTTTTTTTTTTTTTTTTAATCCATTAATGTTTACTATCTTTGTTTTAGCACTGGGCATTAATGGTTTATACATAAAAGCTTATAATTATTACTGGATTTTATGGTGAACATAAATAGGTTAAAATTTTAACATTTTCATTTGAAATCATAATTTCCTTCAGGTGTCAGCAGGGGATTATTGTGTCAAACAGGTGTTTAGGTGCTAGTTTAGTAACCTTGTGACACTGACTGGGATGATATGTAACTTTATCTCAGGCTTACGACCAGCAATAAAGTCTGTGAACTGTGATCTTCAAAGTGGCCTGTTGAGTTTTGTGATTTCTCGCTGATCAGGACATTCTGTAATCAATACAATTATTCTTATCTGAAGTCTTAATGAATGGGGAATATAAAAAACTTCTAATTATCTTAATTATTATCCATAAAGTCAAAACTAAAATCTTATTAGTGAATTAAATGAAGATGTTAACAGTAAGCTAAATCTGTTACAACCAACTATGACAGTTGACATCCAATAAATATTGTGGATGTTATTATTTCTGATTTTAATAATTATTGCTCTAGATACCTACCTTGATATGTCAAATTATGATAGATAAAATAATAATAATATATTATGCATCAAATTATATATATATATATATACACATACAGTATATATTTGTACACTTGAAAAATTGTATTTTTATAAATGTAAAAGCCTTAAATAAAACAAATCTTGGCACATTTTATGTATAAAGACACATATTATTAAAAAAATAATAATAAACTTAATTCTTATTCTAACAAAAAATAATGCATTTTTTAAAATTCTAACTGGTGAAAAAAGTATTCATACAAATCAATTATTAGAATAAAATAATCAATTATGAAAAAAGTATATTCTAGAATGTTCCAGTAATGTTATCAGTAATTATAGTTAACGCTATTAGCCATTATCAGAGCATTCTGCAATTTCTAGTCTTACAAGAATGTAAGACTAGAAATTGCAGGTTCTAATAATGCCTAAAGGTAAAGAATTGACTATTTCACAAAAACAACACATTTTGTCTCTTTGGAAAGATGGGAACAGTTACAGAACAATTTCTAACAACTTGAATATTCCTTTTACTACAATTGCTTTGTTCATTGCAAGGTTTAAAACTCGTAACAGCATCAAAAACCAAAGACAAACAGGTGCTCCGAGGAAGATTTCTCTAAGATCAGCAATAATATTAGGACGCCAGATCCAACAAAATCCACAGGTTACCCAAGAAGAGCTGCAGGAACATCTGCGTGCATTCGGGATTAAAGTAACCAGACATACAATAAGTAATGAACTACACAAAAACAGTCTGAAATCACGCAAGACTCCACTCCTCTTGAAACGGCACAGAGATGCTAGGCTAAAATTCGTTTTGGGAAAAAGTACTATGGACAGATGAAAATAAAATAGTTGTTTGGTCATAATTAGCGAAATCATGTGTGGAGGAAGGACTACTTACCAAAGAACATGTTGCCAACTGTAAAGTTTGGTGGTGGCAGTATCATGATCTGGGGCTGTTTTTCTGCAAAAGGTGTTGGCAGAATATCAATAATAGATGGCAAGATGAATGCCGAAAGCTACCAGAAAATCCTGCAAGACAATTTAATGCGTTCTGTTGAGAGACTTCGACTACCTCCTGATTGGGTTTTCCAACTGGATAATGAACCTAAGCATACTGCGAGATCTACAAGGAAATGGTTAGCTGAAAGTAACGTTGATGTCTTGCAATGGCCAAGTCAGTCCCCAGACCTGAACCCAATCAAGAATTTATGGCAATATTTGAAAATTCAAATTGGGTAAAGAGCACCAAGAAATATCAAGAATTTGAAGACAATATGCCAAGAAGAATGGGACAAAATACCACTCAATGTGTGCAAATCACTAGTTGAGATGTACAGGAATAGACTGGTAGCTGTTGAACTCAAGAAAGGATATTCCACAAAGTATTAAATTAAGTTAATATGCTTTTTTTGTTTTGTACAAACATTTTTTTCATCAGTTAAAATGAAAAAAAAATGTATTAATTTCTGTTAGAATAAGAATTAATCAAGTTTATTACTATTTTTTTAATGAAATGTATCTTTACACATAAAATGTATCAAAATTTGTTTTTGTTAAGGCTTTTACATTTATAAAAATACAATTTTTCAAGTGTACGAATATTTATTCCCCCCCCCCCACTGTGTGTGTGTATATATATATATATATATATATATATGTGTGTGTGTATATACACACACACACACACACACACACAGAGGATGTGGTAGAGAAATTCTTGTTTACATTATGCAGAAATGAAAATAACACAGACATCTCATTTTAACAAAATGACACAAAAATATCTAAAAATACTAAAGAGTAAATTTATTCAATAAAATCACCATTGGCTTCAACCATGTTCTCCAGATGACTTTGGAATCTTCTGCAAAGCTTATTGGACGGTCTCTTTGTTTAAGTTGGTGAATGCTGCCATAATCCTTGCCTTGAGTTCATCTTTGGTCTTACAAGGAGTTTTCTTGGTCTCTCACTCAACTGCACCCCACACATAACAAACAAGTGGGTTGCAGATGTAAGGGGGTGATGTGGTCACAGAAATTCTTACAGTTATGACTGGGTTCCCATGCTTGTGTGACATGATGCAGAGTCCTGTTGCCACATAGGTCTTCTTGCAGCCACCCTCTTGACCCAGGGCAGCACTATCACCTCAAGGCACTTGATGTAGGCCTCCATGTTGTATCTGAGGTCCTTGTTCATAAATTCGAGAGTGCTTCTCTTAGAATAATCAGTGAGTTTTCCAAGTTTTCCATACCTTTGTAATCACCATTAGACTTATCCAACTCTTTCTGAATCCTTTGCACTGTCCTCAGATTGACACCCAAACACTCTGAAATGTTTGTATTGGAGCTTCTGGTGCAAATGTCAAGCAGTACAATATGTCATTTCCAAATTTCTGGCAGAGTGAATTGCATCATGGTGCTTTTTTTCCCAACTGACCCTACTATACTGCGTGAAATTAAAAATAAAAAAGGGGACAATTTACTCATTGCACCCCCGTATGTGTGTGTGAGTGAGAGAGAGAGTGAGTTACCAAAAGAGTCATTTAAAGATAAGCAAATTGCTCATTTGTATATAGTGAACTTTTATGGTAAAAAAGAATTTGGCAGATAGGAATAAACATGTACTTTTGACACTACATCTTGTGGGCATGTTTATTCATTTTTGCCAAAAATTGCATATTAAAGACTTGTTAAATAAACAATTTGTTTTTATTCGTATTGTGGATTCTTCTGATGTCATAAAATGTTCTGTTTTTTATTACAAATGCATTTTGAAGTTGAAAATTAAATATGCTGAAAGGCAATGTTTTGTTTCCGTAACATACAATAAATATTGTGCTAAAAGCAATCTTAAATTTTAATTGGCACTGTAGATAACCTTTCAAAATAAGATATATAAGAAAAATTGTATTTATATTTTATTCTTACCTGCAACTAAGTTCCATGTGAACTAGTAGAGTTGGTCAATGTCATAGTCACACAATCATCAGGTAGAGAAAGAGGCAATAAGACGCTCATTCAATCCCGCAGCTAGTATTGTATAATAAAAATAATACAATAGTATTAATGATGTTGGGAGAGAACAGAGGAGGAGTGGATAACAAATATGGTAAAACATGCCGTATAATGCAAATTCACACAGGCACCTTGATGATTAGCCTTGTAAAAGTGGCAGATGATGAGTGTTATTTTTCACATGAAACTTTTAGTTGTTGGTAACAGTAAAATATAAGTACTGTTTTTTTTCTTTATATATTTTTATATTTGCTTTGTATTTTGTATATATTTTATATACCTACATTGAGCACTTTGTAGTGTCTGCAAACTTTGCCCTTATATATTTACATACATATATACATCTATATATATATATATATATATTATATATTTATAAAGAGAGAAACCCCCTACTTTTTACTTAAAATGTATTAAAAATATATTTATTTATAACCAATCCTTTGAGTTTAAAGTCACATAGGTATTGAGCTAGCTTTCTTTATCCTATGAAAAACTGCATAAATTTATAAACATCTCTTAAGATGACTAAAAGTATAGATGACCAAAAACAAAATGAAAAAAAAAAAATTATTATTCACAGTAGCAAAATTATGAGTGCCAACACTAGCTTTTATATTTTGTGGTGAATGTATTTAATGCTGCCATGTTATTAACTGTGTTTAACACTGCCAAATTTGAATATGACGCCAGGTAGAAAATTTGTAACTATTTCAACCACGATATGTTCCCCTCAAAAGGATTTTGTTTTTTTCTCTCTCTCTCACGCACACGTGGGTATTTTTCTGTGTCCATGTCACTACTGAATGCAACACAAGGTGAGTTTAAAGTGAGTTTAATGGCAATATCATGGAAAAATT